TTTCCTTTCTAAAAGAGCAAATTCTAAAAGAGCTCCACGAGCGACGGGCGTCTTTTTCTCGGGCGAGATCCCAATTCGTCAGTCACGACTGACGTAACGTCTCCGTTCCCTCCTTCAGGGAACGAGGGTTACACAAGTAACCGAGACGTTCTGTCAACTCTGCACTGGCTCCCTATTAAACATCTTACACATTTTAAAATCTTGCTAATTACCCCTGAATGGTTTAGCTCCTCAATACTTGAGCGAGGTCATCCTACACATCCACTGCGATCTCAAAACTCTGGCCATTTGATAATACCTAGAATATCAAAATAAACTGCGGCCGGCAGATTCTTTTCCTATTTAGCGCCCAAACTCTGGAACAGTCTAGCATTGTTCGGGAGGCAAACACACTCTGTCAGTTTAAATCTAGATTAAAAATGACTTCTCTTTTGCCCTTAGAAATTTAATTGGGAACGTAACAATAAACATAACATTTCAGCCTTTAAACCATATTTATAAATTATTAAATGAACATATAAATATATATCTTAGTGTCCTAGTTGTTTAGATTTTTTAGAAGGCACATTCTAGAACATTTTAGAAAGCTTCTTTCACATTTACAACACTGCATGTTTGCTGCGTAAAAATATGCGTCGATTTTCAAATTGATCTGAACAAAAACAGCAGATGGCTTAGTGAAAATGCAAATCACTGATCTGTATAATGATCAGTGATGCAAATTATTTCTCTGCCAGTAGGTGGGGCTTTTGAAAGCTTCAGTAACGGCTGTACACAACGCAGTGCTGCGCTCATAAAGGCTTTATCAGGCATTATAAGAAAGATGACATGAAAATGCCATCAAAAGTTCTCTGAAAATAGTCGGTTCCCTTCAGAGATACATTCATATAAAAACACCCGTGTCGCGTTTTGACTTTATTCAATGAAATTCACAGCCTTTTTAAGTTTAATCATCACATTAAGCTATATCGCAATTCTTGTCCTTCCATCCCCAAATTTAAGACCTCTTGAAATTATAATTAATACTTTTCTTATTCCATTTAAGACTTATGGTCTTAAATTTGATACCACTAACTTGAAGGACGCACGGGAACCCTGTGATAGCCTGACGGGCAGGGGGATGATACATTTTGGTAGCCCGACTGGAAGACACAATAGCCCTGGGATGTCGAGCTAGCAATTTTGTGAGCCCTGTACCGGGATGAAATCCTCAGAGCCACTATCAGACCACACACTGGTGCATTGGGCCCTGGGTCCCTCCTGGTGCATGACAATGCCTGGCCTCATGTGGCCAAAACTCGAAGGTGATTGGGCTCTCGGGCGAGATCCCAATTCGTCAGTCACGACTGACGTAACGTCTCCGTTCCCTCCTTCAGGGAACGAGGGTTACACAAGTAACCGAGACGTTCTGTCAACTCTGCACTGGCTCCCTATTAAACATCTTACACATTTTAAAATCTTGCTAATTACCCCTGAATGGTTTAGCTCCTCAATACTTGAGCGAGGTCATCCTACACATCCACTGCGATCTCAAAACTCTGGCCATTTGATAATACCTAGAATATCAAAATAAACTGCGGCCGGCAGATTCTTTTCCTATTTAGCGCCCAAACTCTGGAACAGTCTAGCATTGTTCGGGAGGCAAACACACTCTGTCAGTTTAAATCTAGATTAAAAATGACTTCTCTTTTGCCCTTAGAAATTTAATTGGGAACGTAACAATAAACATAACATTTCAGCCTTTAAACCATATTTATAAATTATTAAATGAACATATAAATATATATCTTAGTGTCCTAGTTGTTTAGATTTTTTAGAAGGCACATTCTAGAACATTTTAGAAAGCTTCTTTCACATTTACAACACTGCATGTTTGCTGCGTAAAAATATGCGTCGATTTTCAAATTGATCTGAACAAAAACAGCAGATGGCTTAGTGAAAATGCAAATCACTGATCTGTATAATGATCAGTGATGCAAATTATTTCTCTGCCAGTAGGTGGGGCTTTTGAAAGCTTCAGTAACGGCTGTACACAACGCAGTGCTGCGCTCATAAAGGCTTTATCAGGCATTATAAGAAAGATGACATGAAAATGCCATCAAAAGTTCTCTGAAAATAGTCGGTTCCCTTCAGAGATACATTCATATAAAAACACCCGTGTCGCGTTTTGACTTTATTCAATGAAATTCACAGCCTTTTTAAGTTTAATCATCACATTAAGCTATATCGCAATTCTTGTCCTTCCATCCCCAAATTTAAGACCTCTTGAAATTATAATTAATACTTTTCTTATTCCATTTAAGACTTATGGTCTTAAATTTGATACCACTAACTTGAAGGACGCACGGGAACCCTGTGATAGCCTGACGGGCAGGGGGATGATACATTTTGGTAGCCCGACTGGAAGACACAATAGCCCTGGGATGTCGAGCTAGCAATTTTGTGAGCCCTGTACCGGGATGAAATCCTCAGAGCCACTATCAGACCACACACTGGTGCATTGGGCCCTGGGTCCCTCCTGGTGCATGACAATGCCTGGCCTCATGTGGCCAAAGTGTGTGGGCAGTTTCTGGATAATGAAGGCATTGATGCCACTGACTGGTTCTCATGTTCTCTAGCCCTAAATTCAACTGAGAACCTCTGGGACATTATGTATCGAAGCATCTGAAGCCGGCAAGTAGCACCACATACCATCCAGGATGTCTATGATGCCCTGATCCAGGTTTGGCAGGAGATCCATACAGACACGTGGTGACCATACACACTACTGACTTACAATAGGAGTTGCTGAATGAAATTCATGCAAGTTGAATCAGCCTGTAATTTCAATTCTTACTTGGATTTTCGGTGTGTTTTTGAATCCAGCCCTCAATGGTTTGATGATTATGGCTCACTAAGGCTGCATTTATTTAATACAGCAAAAACAGTAATACTGTTACAGGGCACCTATTGTATTATGCCCCTTTTTACAAGATGTAATATAAGTCTCAGGTGTCCCCAGAATGTGTCTGTGAAGTTTCAGCTCAAAATACCCCACAGATTATTTATTATATCATTTTGAAAATGCCTATGTTTTCGTGCATGTATCTTTAAATGCAAATGAGCTGCTGCTCCCTCCCCCCTTTTCCAGAATAGGGCTGTGCCTTTACAGAGCTCATACCTCAAATACTCTGCCAAAAAACATCGCTGAAATCATGCGTTTTAAAGGCATATCAGTTTAAACTTCTGATATAGTGTTTTCTGAGCGCACACATCCAAAGCGCACACACACAGAAAGTGGCTGTCACATGGCATGTGAGCACTAAACTAAGTTCTCTTTCATGTCTTATTGCGTTTAAACTGTCAAATACACACAAGGTTATGTTAAAAACACGCTACAAAAACAGTCAGTTATGTCTGTGAAGGTAAACAGCTGGGAAATAAATTGCATGTTTATGAAGTGACAGCAGCGTAATATGCAGTACCTACTGCTGTCTACTCTTGACCGGATAACTTCTATAGCTTTAATAAGAAGACATTTCTAACTTGAATGCTGCTTTTAAATGCTCTATAGCGTGAAGATCAACATGGCAGATTGTGTGCGGATCACTCAGGTCTTTGCTAATATGGCGGTGTCAGTCAGCGGCCGTGGGCGGTAATATTATAATAAGAACCCCTTCCTACGTCAGAAGGGGAGAGAAATCTGATCGGCTCATTTTCTGCTTGCAGAGAAAGGCTTACAAAGCCAAACTTACTGGGTTCTTCTTTTTCACGTTTTCTGAGTTGGTAGATGCACCAGACACTCAATTATAGCACTTAAACACGGAAAAAGTCCGATTTTCATCCGATGAGCCCTTTAAGCTTTTTTTAAACAATTTAAAATAACTATTTTCTACTTTAATGTATTTTAAAATGTAATTTATTTCTGTGATGCAAAGGTACATTTTCAGTATCAATACTCCAGTCTTTAGTGTTAAGTGATCATTCTAACTTCAGAAATCTTACTAATATGCTGATTTGCTGATCAAGAAACATATTAAGCTAATCCAACTGTGAATATTTCGACCGGCATTCACAGATATTTTTGCAGATCATCATTCATGATACTTGTGTACTTTGTAGCACTGTTTAGTTTAGCAATATCAGAATGTTTTGGTAATTAGCATAAATCTAGTTTTTTCCAGTTCAGTCCTAATTGTGATTATGCTACATGTGTAATAGTTTTTCTGTTGGCTAAAATCAGAGTGCGAACTACGGGCTCCCCTTAATAAGACATGGGCTCCCCTGAAAACAGGATTTGTGAAATTTTGGGGGGTCTCAAAAAGTATTGACAATGTGTTATTTTGACATGCAATTTCAGTTTTGTGCAATGGGATCATCGTGGATTATTATGTGTAAAATTGCAAAAATATTCATTCATTCATGCATGACGGCGATTTAAACCTAATTCACTTGAATAAAGATAAATATGCATGCTATTCTTGTCATGAGCATCAAGGTGTGGGGGCGCTGCGGTGCAAATTCCACTCATGTTTAGTACGTTAACTCAAAGATTCGTAGAAAAAATATAAACGCTGGACTCTGTGGTCGATTCTGTGTTAAGGTAAGGCATGTTATTCGCAATTATGTGTTGTGGCTGTGTTGTTATAGGTCTGCGTGACTCTCGATGTCTTAGGCCTAATTGAACGGAGGAATTATGGTATTCTTCTGTAGCCTGACAACGAGTAACTTTAACCGTTGTTCATGTGAACTCAAAGACAGCCTGACGCTCTGTTTATAGACTATGTGTGGGTGGCTGTTTGTTGTTTCACCTATCAATTCGGTTTTGCTCACATTATAGTTTTGTATCTGTAACTTTTAAATTGAACTTACTGTTCTATTACATACATGTTGCCCAAATATATTAATTATCCCCTTCATCATGACAATACAAATGGAATGGTACAATTTCATTTTCCAACCAAACAATGTTTAATATACACCAGATATTTATGCTTTACAACAAGAATTTGCATAAGGCTCTATTGTATGATAAAATGTTTGTATGATGAATTAATTATTAAAAACACAAAAAGTGAATTACAAAATAATCACGCATTTAATCTGATTTAATCTAATCATTTAATCTAGCATTTAGCTGAAAGGAAGGGAGCACACAATAAAGAAAGGTGCTGTTCATACAGTATGCATTATTGCATTCAAGAACCACGACTGGGTCTTATCAGCAAAACATAAACCTTACAGTTTCTAATTTTAAGATTACAGGCAACACAAGCTGATTTTGTTGAACAATGGAGATAAAGCATCATCACTTCATGAAACAGCACATCCTCACCCACACCAAACAATCAAAAATGAATGCTGCATTTATACAAGCATAAACAACTACTGTCATACAGCAACAAGGACAAAAGCTCTTAGACAGTCATCGAGTCTGTGACCTCACAGTTTTAAGTGAGTCATACTGTGTATGAACTGTGCAGCATTAAAGATTGCTTTAGAAACGGACCTTTTGTATGTTTCAAACTAAGTAGTCCAGTTCAGCATTCATTATGGAATACATTTCATAAATGGCATCTACAGTTGCAGTGAAGTTTATTAAGAACTGATGAATTTTTTCTAAGCAATCCTCCTCTGCAACTTCTTGATCCTTGGTTAAAGCTTTAAGAAAATCTGACCGGCATGGTGCAGCAAATAACGCAGCCTACAGCAGAACCAAACAAAATGCTGGGTAAGCAATCACTGTCTTAAAATGCGCCATAACTTTTCCAGTTGTTTGTGATTACTGGCTTTTAAAAAATCAATTTTACACAGAGTAGACAATATATTTAGAAGATAATTTCCTACAAGACTTTTCCAGGCCTCATAACATGCAAAACAAATCGACATGCCCATCCTGCCATGCCCACAAAAGCTACTGAAAACACCCACCTTGAAAACCTTCTGGACTATCCAGCCGTGGTACCTCTTGAGGGCTTGGTCATAGGCTTTAGTGATATTGATGCGAATAAGATTGGGATTGTCCTCATCTCTTTCCCCATCCGCTAGACTTTGCAGTAAAATCTGAATGAACCGCAGGCCTCTGAGGAGAAGACCGGTAAACTGTTCAAACGTAGGTGAAAATCATTCATTGTACATAATATGTTTCGATTAGCGCTACACAATTAGCGATTACAATATCGCGATCTAAATTCAGACACCCATGCTATCTTGTTTGCGCTAATGATAACTCATGATTAAAGCTTTTCATGATCTCTAATACAAGAAAAATGATTCTCAATGTATCTAGAATTGTGCAGATCTAGTTTCTAATAATTTGATTTGTTGTAAGCATTTTTTATTATTTTAAAGAAAAGATCTGAACATGGAAGAGACATCCCTATAAAAGGGAAATTGTAGCAGTTATATTTTGGACAAAAGACATGCAGAAAGTGTGACTAGGTGAACAAATGACCTCTTTAACCACATAAGCGCCAGCGTGGCTCCGACTTTAGGCCACTCGGAGCCATAGATGCTTTTCTCGATTAGCAGAATCTGCTGAAGAGTCTCATACTTCACTGGATCTGAGTCATAGACAGCTTTAATTTTCTTGTGAGAATTGGGAGAAATTCAGAAAAACGTTTCAATACATTTTCAAAGGAATTTGATAGAAACGAACCTTAAAAAACATTAATAATATATGACTTAGTTCTCAGACTTACTGTGATGTTTCCATTTATGTCAGCCTTAATCGGTGCAAAAACCTTGGAACCAAGGCAATCTGAAAAATAATTTCATGAAACACTTTTTATATATATATTTCCCACCATTATAGAGGGAATGGAGTGTTACCTAAAAAAAGAAAGAATACATTAAAAGATTCAAATCAATACATATTGAGAAATAACTAGGTATTTTTATTTATTTATTTGTAAATGTAGTAAATAAATAAATAAAAATAAACAATAAAATTAATAAATAACAAAAAACCGGTAAAGAACTGCAGGAAGAGCATCTATGTTGAAGTGCTATACTTACCATTAAAGTTGTAGCCATCTGGGAAACATTTACTGTAAACTGTTCACCCAGTTAACTACCAATACTAGGTCTATACTAAAACTATAACTAGACAAGCCTAGAATAAAATACTTTGAAATACATCAAACATTAAATAACTGGAATTAACTACAGCAACATTTTTGTACCCACATTTTAAAAATGTGGGACATTTTGCCCAGGTTAATTTCTGACCCTGAAACATGGTCATTTGTCGCCACCGTGTGGTTGAAAAAGAGGTATTGAGGACCAGTCGCTGCGGGAACACAACGGTATCCGTTCTGTCCTCTCAATATTTAATGACCTCTTTGCTGTTTACTACACAGGTTTGAAAAATTCATACATTCAGAAGTCCACTAAACATGTCAAATGTGAAAGGCAATGGCATGGAGAAAAAGATTTGCTGTTCTAAACGCGTTCACTGCTGTTTCCAGAACTCCGTTTGTTTAAAAATCAACCTAGTTCATCTATCTTTAACCTACAGGCCTTTAAATAGTTAAAATACACATACTTTTTGTAACTTCCGATAATGAAATCACATGAAGTTCACGACTCACCGAAAAAAGGTGGCAGATGAGAAACTGACTCCAGAAATGTTTTCGTCGCGATCTCGTTGTTGTCAGGCATCGGCGCAAACTGCTGATCCAGCAAAAGTGCCATCGCAAATCATCTAAATAAAATGTAAGTTGTTGAAAATAGTATGGCTTTTAATTGCTTGACGCTTCGTTTCTATTTTCAATTCGTCCGTGGTATCGTGAAAAATATATTCAACAGGTGTGAAGAGGCACTAACAAAGTGACCGACTGAGGAAATGAAAGACCTAAGTGAGTTCAGTGAAGCCACGTTAATAAATCATTCCAGCATTTAAATACTCTTCCTGGAAAGATGTAGACTTTTAAACGATTACATATATATATATATATATATATATATAAACTAAAATGTTGTAATATATGTGACAACTTGCATTCAGTAAAATATAAGGTACAATTATTTAAGGCAAATGGACATGTTTTAAAAATGACACGTTTTAGCTTGAATACAGATAAAATTTATTATATTCAGTAACAAGACTTTCATTGAAGCAGCATCAACTGCATGATGCATATCCCATATGAAGGCCAACGGGACCTTCTTGAACTGAGCAGGTAAGTGCATGTGTACATATCCGGCAGATATTACAGCAGGAAATACTAGGACAAACTCGCACCAGATTAGTTGCATACATGACTGACAACTAGCAGCTTACATATATAAGTTGTATATAAATATAATACATGTACTGAATCATACAAAGCGATACCACATAATACCGGAATCACTAACACAGCAGCTGGTGGCCGTTAGGCAATTGTGTGTGTTATTTGTATTATTTCAGACAAGGCAGCACATGAACACATCCTTTGGACATGCAAATTAACACAAGAGCATCCCTAAAACATCAGGCGGATTGAATTCATAGCAACAGGACTTCATTTTGCAGTTGTCTATGAATAAACTGACATTCTCTGATGACCTGGATGAATGAAAACCTTCACACACACGCCTAAGATTAAACTGCAAAGAGCACAAACTAAAATGGAGTACATTTGGACTGGATAGCGATGAGGAACAAATGAGTGAAAAAAAGAACACTATAGTGAAAAATTATAAACATGACATTTTAAAATCAGGAGCGACATGTCCGCATTTGTGAGTGACTATATATTTAGGTGTATAACAGACACCCAAGCACACACAAACACACACACATACAAGTGAGGTATAACAGCTCAAATACTAAAGCGCTCCATAATAAGACTATACACTCTGAAAACTTAATACAATGGTAACACCAGGACAGGTAAGGTAGGATTTTGCAGCAAGGCTTATTGCACAAGAAATGAGGCATTGTGTGTCCTGACATCTACATTACGGTCACATTTTGAGAGAGCTGGTTTTCAAGACAAAGAAACACTTAATACACCAGCTGAATTTCAGCAATAACAGCCATTTATGATTTCAGGTTTAGTCTCACTTAAACTTTGTTTGTGGTATATTTGAAATGTGCAGGTATCAAATGAGTAAAGGCCTTATTCTGTTTATCCACAAACAGGAGCAATACAGACATAACAAATCAGTTAATTAGCACCATAGGAAGCAAAACAAATATTAGTTTACATTTAAAAACGGTACCATAAAGCTACGACACAAAAAAAACAGGGCATTGATTATTAAGGCTTAGTGCCCCAAAAGGTATGTTAGTGTATGTATGCATAAACTTCAAAAGCAATTCATTATTTGCAGTAATACAAACCAAATTGTGCTGTGTTGATCATCAATAATACTGGACAATATAATAGCAAATAAAAATACATGGTGAAACATATTAAACAGGAAAGGCGCTCACTTGTACTGTAACTCAGTTACTGTCTTTGGTAGTCACAGTAACTAGCTGTTTAGCTGCCTTGGCAATGTCGTAGGCACACTGAATAACCTGCTGGGAGTCGTGTGATGTGGCTTTTTGACATTCGCCCTGCAGACGGCTGGCACTGGAGGTCAAGAGGCGCAAGGACCCACGAACAGTCTCAGAGGATGGCCTCTGTGATGGAAAACAATTTCAGAACCTTATTAACCATTTAGTGCTTGCTATGGATGCAAAAATATTAGACAAGGATATAAATAGATATATTCTTCATTAAGGCAAAGTTTCCTTGTGGGCTCAAGGCTTACCTTAGGGAATAACGTAGCCATTTCTGTCACTGCTATGAGAATTCTCTCTGAACACGTGACGAAGCTTCAACAAAGAAATGCAACAAATTGTTTTTTTTTTTGTTCACTGATTAGATTGATAAAAAGGGTCATTTAAAATTCTTACTCCGATATTACCATTTTAAAATATTCTTTTAAATTATGATTACAAAAAGTAGAGAAGTAGAACCAAATATGCATCTAATCATCCACACGAAAGCTTGATTCACACTACGGCTCAGTTCAGCCTTGAAAAAAGAAACCAAAAATCACAAAATGGTCCAAGCATCCATCATATTTACAAATACAAATTTAAAACAAGGGTAAGAAAAGCCATTTTTAATTAGTGGTTCTTGGTGGTAAAAACCACCCAGAACACCACAGCAACCACACAGTGACTTTTTTTACACTGTGAAAGGCGATCTGAAGTGCAGATCTGGGTGAGTGAAATGCTAACCTATCGTATCGTTCTCCCATGAATGCATAATGATCTGCACTGACCGAAGACTGAAAACCAACACAAGTCAAGAAACAAAGGCTCAGTCAGTGTTCAGAATATCGGATCCAAATAAATGTTTCTGATACTTATGTGAATACTGAACATACTGCATGCTGTAAACTCAGCAAAAAAGAAACAAAGCACGTGCCATTTGTGAATCTACATATGCATCCTTCCAGCTTGGCCATTTGTTGTTATATCCCAGCTGTGTTGACACAATCCCATCACTTTGCTTAACAGACAAAGGAGACACTGTGTCCCCAGGGCTGAACACCATTGGAGTTTCCGACTGGAGACTGGGTCCTTTCACCCATTTTATGCCAATAAACCTACCCATGCTGTGGCCACACAAAGGCCAGACTAATTTTCTTACCTCTCATGTTTATTCTCTTGCGCAGCTCTGAGTAATTCCTGGATGTTCTTAGTGATCAGCTCCGTTTTGCTGATGACGTCCTCTGTGCACGGTAGAGACGAGTCACACTCGCCCTCAGATGGGCTTTCTGACTGCGGCACTGTACCATCGCCAGGCCGGCCGCTCGCCCTGGAGAAATTACTCTGCATTGACCTGTGGGGAAAGTGGAAGGGTTCAGTGTTAAAATAAATAAATTTGAATATATATTTATTTATATTGTTTTTAAAACAACAAGAGGTCCAAGACAAACCCAGACTCGTCCATCTCAATGTGGTTCAGTGCATTATCATAGTCACTTTCTGACATGCTGCTCTGGGCGTCTAATGTGGATCCCTGTAACAGGAATAGAGTCACAGTGAGCTTTCTGCAGAAACAAGGGATGCTACCTGTTACTGACAACTGGTGCTCACTCAAAGCTTGAAGACACAGCATCATGCTTTTGGTGTAGAATCAAAACATCAGCATAACAGAGCTGTAAACCAGAAATATACTCCATGCAAGCAGTCACACGCAGATGCTTGGCCACCATGTTGTAAATACTTAACATGTTCTCGCATTACCAATCCAGTAACAAACCCTCAAAACACAAGGGGGCGATAGAGTTACCTTCAAACATCTGCATTATTTATCTGGTCTGCGTTATTATTCAAATAGCTAGCTATAAACATGTTAACAGTTTAACTAACTTGCTCAATAAGACTCTCTTCAAACCATTGCTTTGCCATGACAGCAGTTGACCTTCAACTAAAGAAGACAAAGCATTGCACTATCAACACCAAGGTCATGAGTTCAACTGATTATGAATGAACTAAAAAAAATGTAATCCAAGTTGATTCGGATAAAAGCATCTGCCAAAATATAAAATGTAAATGCTTGGATTACATTCTGATATATTTCAAAACGATGGACAACATCAAACTTGTGTAGCTAGAAACATCTGCATTCACGTACTTGCGTAGAGTATGTTTTGGGTCTGAGATATCAGAGAGCCAGTGACTGCTTTACACATCAAGCAGAGTTGTGAGTAATGTTAATGGCTGGCGTCTCTTGTAGTGTGTACGGTTTAACGTTAGTAGTCCAGCTGAGGTACAAGTTGTCCATTGGTTGGATAGATCGGTGGTTCATGCACTAAGTGAATGGGGGACAGATAAAAGAGGAGCCCTTTCAACAGCCTGTTCACTGAGCAGGTACTTCACCCTTTGGGTTATCTCATCCCAGGACCAGGACAGAGTTGAGGGGAACGTGGGAAGGGAGGAGAAGGCAGTCACCGGGGGACCCTTCCCAATCTAAAAAGGGTTCAGATTATGTTTTGAGTGGGCAAAGGTTTTTTTTTTAATATGAATGCACAAAAAGAGAATAGGGGCTATCAAAAACATACCTGAAGTGACGATTCACTGGGTTACTAAATGAGTTAAAACCAAGGGAATAATGACAGGGCTCTACAGTGCGACCATTTCAGTCACATTTGCGACTGAAAACTACTGCGTGCGACTATGAACATTTTTTTAGGCGCACCAGTGCGACTGACCCGATCATCATCATACTTGTGATTGCGCTCAGGGGAGCTTCAAAGGTTTCTACGTGTTTTTGCAGCGTTGAGTAATGTATCACAGACAAATCTCACGAATCCTTTCATAAGCAAAGTGTAGACAGGGTGTAAATAAGAGATTCATTGCGCAGTGTAGAGAGCTTCGTTGATTATAAATGTGAGCTCGCGATGAACTAAGATGAGTGACAGCTTTTAATGATTTTTAAAGGAGTTTGTAAATGTTATACTGATTTAATACAATACAATTCAATAAACAAGAAGTTAATATTAAGTGACTTACATTGTCTCACTATAACACTATTGTCTGATTGTCTCACTATAACACTATTGCCTGATTTTTCTCTATTTCGTCATCAAAAATAGTTTAAAACTATTAGCATACAGCCGCTATTAGCATATAGCCCGCTAGCAACGCCAGCGTGGTTGCCCTGTGCCACCTCTACAAATTAATTTTGTTAATACTGATTTCATTTGATTGGTAACTTATATTTCTTATTCTACTTGTTCTTATTCTGTCGTTTTAATTACAATTTTTAAAAAGCTTATAAAATATCATTTTTTTAAGAATTTGACAAAAGATGACATACTTTTAATAAAGTTAGAGGAGTGAAATATCACCTCGTAATGGG